AATCGCTCAATCCGTGTTTCAGCCGCGCAATGACATCAAAATAACAGCGTTTAAACAATTCATGTAACGTCACATTTACCTCAGAAAGCATATTCAGTGACTATAAACTCATTAGTCAGATAGAAAAATAAATTGTAGAGAGGGGCATTTTGCTAAATATATGCACCATATAACATTCATTATACTTTTTTACTGTTCTTTAATGTTTTATTTATGTTTGAATAAATCTGTCCAAGTTTTTATGACAGCCACTCTCTTTGAGGAGATATTTATTCTCTTTTTGTATATTTAAAAAAAAAACTAACTGAAGTAATTGTAACTTAATTATTATAAAAACTTCATTAAGTGCAATTTAAGCAGTTGTACAGCACAAATCAGTCAATTTTAACCTTCAATATTATAATGTACCAACTACCAACTGACTCTCATGTATATTTTACAGCATTAGTTGGGAGATCTTTTTTTCCTTGAGAAAATTTTGCATGTACTGTACCAGATATGTATCCAAAATAATCGATATTGAATCGAATCGAATTGGTAATCGAATGGAATCGCAAGCTTGTGAATGAGAATCGAATCGTGAAATTTGTGTCAAAAGTTAAAACCCAGCCCTAGCTTAAATAGTGCATATAATCACCTCCATAATGACAGTTTGGCTGCACATAAGTTCACATTATATATTTATGTCTTGAGTTATAAGAAATCATTTGAGAATCTGCCTGCGCGTTTATTTTTGTTTCGTTTTTCCTACATATCAAGTAGCTTATGTTCAGATCATATCTAACTCAATGTTAAGAATGCCATGCTTTCAAGTAGCTATGCTTTTGTTTTTATCTTTGTGCACATGAACACTCTATGCGTGTGAAGTAAATGCATGCATTTCATGTGCTGCTGAAATCCAATTAGAGGCAGTGGAATTCTGCCATTGAAATCAATTTAGCGCTAATGTTATTGAATGATGTGGTGTGTAGAGCTGCAGTAGAGGGTTTATTTGTATTTATATGAGATGACTGTGCCTGTTCTTTTTCCCCTCCTGTGCGTGAATACAGATGTATTGTTTGGAGGCAATTGAGGTCAAGCATTATGTGCATGGTGGGATTTTTGTTGTGTATCTTGATTACGTTGCCCTCGGGGAGAGAAGCCCTTTAACAACTTTACAATCCATATCCTGTCTTATGTAATCGCTCAATCCGTGTTTCAGCCGCGCAATGACATCAAAATAACAGCGTTTAAACAATTCATGTAACGTCACATTTACCTCAGAAAGCATATTCAGTGACTATAAACTCATTAGTCAGATAGAAAAATAAATTGTAGAGAGGGGCATTTTGCTAAATATATGCACCATATAACATTCATTATACTTTTTTACTGTTCTTTAATGTTTTATTTATGTTTGAATAAATCTGTCCAAGTTTTTATGACAGCCACTCTCTTTGAGGAGATATTTATTCTCTTTTTGTATATTTAAAAAAAAAACTAACTGAAGTAATTGTAACTTAATTATTATAAAAACTTCATTAAGTGCAATTTAAGCAGTTGTACAGCACAAATCAGTCAATTTTAACCTTCAATATTATAATGTACCAACTACCAACTGACTCTCATGTATATTTTACAGCATTAGTTGGGAGATCTTTTTTTCCTTGAGAAAATTTTGCATGTACTGTACCAGATATGTATCCAAAATAATCGATATTGAATCGAATCGAATTGGTAATCGAATGGAATCGCAAGCTTGTGAATGAGAATCAAATCGAATTGTGAAGTTGGTGTCAAAACCCAGCCCTATCAGTTATCTGAAGATATGTCTTCCTTACACTGACTCTCAGCCGTGTCAACAACCACCAGCACACAAGGAACGCTGCAGAGCAATATTATTGTGACTTTAAAACAATAGTTCACCCAAAAATTACAATTATGTAATTAAGTTTTTGTCCAGACAATTAAAGTCAATAGGGTCCAAAAAAAATGAAACAACATGAGGGTGAGTAAACAATGACAAAATTTATGTTTCTGGACCATTTTATCACTGTGCCCTATACAAAGTTATTATATGGCTTCAAAAGTTTTAAGCATAAGAAGCATAAGTCATACACTTGCTTTGCTTTTATGTCATTTAAATGCCTAGTCACAAGCCCTAAAAAGGCTTTAACAGGATTCTGTGGAAAAAGTCTGGGTAAAAAGCAGCCATGATCAGTGAAGCAGATTATACCTGAATAAAAGGTTATAATTCTTTGTCCCTACAACACTGTACCAGAGCAGCTCCAGGTTACTGAGCTTTCATGCACGATGTGAATAACTAACCTTGCATAGTAATAAGCCCAGACCAATTCCACACAGTAGACAGTAGGCAGCTGAACCTGAGGTCTTTACACTGTCAAATCACACAGTCACTTTGATTCCCTGTTCAGCACCGCTGCATCACGCATCAGTGGTGTGTGCTGGACGTCTGAAACGAGGGGGCAAATTCCCTTCAGGGGTTTTTGTCTAATAAATTCATGTTCAATTTTATGTTCACATGGTATCTGGGTTAAACACCTTACATCATCAACAAGCAACCAATACTAAAACATTTTGTATGTATAAATTATCATACTGTTTATTTAAACCAAGGCATCGAGTTGATGTGGTTTTTTTAATTGTATTGTTACAAAAATAATATCTATACAAATACAGTAAAATGTAATTTTTATTTGTTACTACTAACTGCTATGGGACAATATTATTAAAAGCCACTTTCTTTTAGTAAATGATAAAAAAGTAAATATCACAAATATATTGATGGTGGGAGGAATGGAGGTGCATCTTTAATATAACCAACCTAAGTAGCCGCTAATTCAGAGATCATCACTTTAAGTAATATCTCAATTATGGGGGGAAAGTCTAATTGCAACTTTAAAAAAAAAAATGCATTCAAAAGGATCCAGGTTTGCGGTGCTTGTTTGTAGGGCTACACAATTTGGCCCTTAAAATAGTGATCTTGGGATATCAACATGACTATAATAATAATAATAATAATAATAATAATAATAATAATAATAATAATAATAAATATTATTATTGTTGTTATGGTTTAATTAAATATATAATAATAATTATTATTATATATAGTATTTAATAAGAATGATATTTTTACAGCACAACTATAAAATGACAATATTTATGCAATTAATATTATAAAACAATATAAACATATTAATTAATATAAATGCAATATTTATGGCTGCCTTCATTTTCATCATTTTCAAAGCCGTTAAAGGATAAGTTCACTTCCAGAATGAAAATTCTTTCATCATTTACTCACCCGCCTCCACTTGTTCCAAACCTGTATGAGTTTCTTTCTTCTGTTGAACACAAACAAAGATGTTGTTTCATCAACTGTTCGGATACGAACATTTTTCAAAATAAAATCTTTTGTGTTCAACAGAAGAAAGAAACTCATACAGGTTTGGAACAAGTGGAGGGTGAGTAAATGACGACAAAATTTTCATTCTGGAAGTGAACTAATCCTCTAAAGCTTCTTATTTGCTGACAACACCCAGTTTGTAAGTGCTTCTCATTAGAAGTTTGGGAAGATGGTTAGCATGTGTTATGTTCCCAAATGCACATTACAAACAAACCAAACTCAGAGCACATGCAGAGATGAGTTCACATGTAGCAGCGTTTACTGAGACCCGAGCTGCTCTGACACACTGAAAACACCAGATCATGAGCTGCTCATGTGTAAAAGAAGGCAGTGCCATGCTTCACTCTGAAACACACAGTGCATTTAATTCAATCACAGCCTAGGAGACTTCACAATCACACTAAACCATATCAAGATTTTGGTTTTATTGCGAGTAATCGTCACTTCAGAATTTTTTTCACTTTGAACACCGTTTGATCTCGTAATATATTTGTTTTATTTATACGGTCAATAATGTTCTCATCCACATTTTATGAGGAGGCACTGCCTCCTCTGAGAAAACACCCAACAACAACAAATGTGGCACAAACTGCTGACAAGGAGAGAAAAAAGTGGGCCAGAACAGAAACAAACGCAGACAGAAAAGTTAACAGCCTGTCACAAGTCATTACGTACCTCGAGAACAGCAATCAAAGCGGGTCAGACCAACACTTCTCATGTATGAACTACACAAGATTACATTCAAACCATATTGAAGACATCATTCAGACAAAGAACAGAAATGCAAGGTACTTTCATCTGTATGCAATGCAAAGCAAAAGGGCTCCAAAACACACACACACACACACACACACTGATATACAGCATTCCTCATAGACGCACATAAGCACATGCACCAGGGAACCATTAATAAAATTTAGCACTAACGCTATGACACAGCAGCACACAACTCTCTCTCACACACACAAATGACACAGATGGCATCTATCATGCCCGTGCTATAGATCGTGAATTCATAACGCTTTCAAAAAGGGGCGGCTGTACTGTGTACAAGGTCCTGACTCAGCAGTTCAGCCCCGTCTGGCCTTCAGGGCAGTAAAAGTGCACATTAACACAGGATTACTGTGCAGTTACCAGAGTGCTATACGCTCCCACTGAGAGATGCCACCATAAAATCTTACATTAAAGACACTAAAACGGAATCTATTATCCTTTTACAAGACCTTAAAGGAATAATTCACCTAAAAATAACAATTATGTCATTATTTACTCTTCCTCATGTCATTTCAAATACATATTTTGGAACGACATCAGGGGTGAGTAAATGTTTCAGATAACTATCATAAGTATCATAAGTCATAAATGAATAGAGGTTTGGACCCTCAGTGTGTTCAGTGGGCTGTTAAACAAGGCAAAGGGGGAAAAATGTAAATGCACAAACCAAAACTATTCCTGAGATAGACTTGAAAGAGATTGTTTTAAATCTGTTTCCTGTATTGAGTGACTGTAGAAGAGAGAATGGCCACTTTAAAGTAGATCAGCACTAAAGTACACATGAAAAAGGTTGAAAATGGCAAGACTTTTGACTTACTGTCCTCTCCTGGGCACGGCATACCAGGCTTTTCAGGAATGCTTGGGAATACTAGACAGAGAAAGAAAGACAAAGAGAAAAGAGTATGACTCAGTCCAGTGGTTTCAGCAAATATGCTAAATTGCGAATACTCAATTTTCTGAAGAAAACTGATTTTTATCAAGTGCTTTAGTCGTATAGCGTACACATGATATTTTGAGTGGTTTGGTGGATTTCTGCTGTCTGTGTGGTTTGATTCTGCATTCAGTTCTTTATAAATAGATGGATAAAAATACAAATAGAGTAATTCCGCTACTAGAACAATTGAAAATTGAATATATGAGGGGAAAATAGATTTATTTCAGACGTTCTGAGTGAATGAGTACCATGCAAAAGGAGTCCGGAGCGCCCGTTCCGGTTGTAGATTCGGAATGCTTCCTCCAGCTCCATCTGGGATGAGATGGTACACGGGTCCCCTTACAAACAAGACAACAAGGAAAATGGGAACATTAAAAAACACTAAAATATCAAGAGGCAGTAGGTGGCAATATTGCTTCTGGTGAAGTAAATCTCTAAAAGTGTTTTTTTTTTCTCTAAATTACAAATATACTCAATATTTATAGCTGACATTTGTCTCAGGGGTATTCAAACTGGGACAGGGTTTTTTTATTATTATTTATATACTATAGTATTTATTAGTATTTTGAATTGTTTTTTATTTTATATATTTATTTATTTATTTTATATTTTATTCAGTTTTCTTTTAAATTTAAGTTTATTTTTTATTTTTATTATTTTTGTTTTTAACATTTAATTTTTTATTTCTGTTTTAGTCTTAGTAATTATAGTATTTCTTAAATGTATTTTATTTGAGTTACTTAAAAAGGCATAATGTCTTAGTTTCATCTTACTTTTTTATCTAATATTTATTTCAAATAAAGAAAATGAATTAATAGGTTTAGTTTTAGTTAACAATAACAACACTGGGCTGGGGACCGCCAGGTTCAGAGAAAAACTTTTTTAAAGTAAAATATAAATCATTAATATTTATTACATTTAAATATAAATCCTAAATATAAATATAAAATCATATAAATGTAAATTCTTTATATTTTAAGTAGGGCTGCTTGCAAGGAAATCATCATATTTAGGGGTTTTATCGTATTTTCTGATTTAGTTGATGTTTATATCAAAAGTGACTTAATAATAATTCACAGGCACAGCCCTTGAGCCTAAAGTTAACATGAAATCAAAAATAACCTTTTTTATGCATGTTCCTGGTCTTATTGTGAACGATTCATTGGTGCATTATTCCAAACTTTGTAATCTTTAATAAAACTATACTATCTTGCTCTTCTTCTTAATAAACTTTTCTATTATGCTGACGTCACTTCAGCCAAAGTTCAAAGGTCATACACACCTTCATCGTCAATCCACTTGAGTGTAATTGGCATCTCCTTTCTGACCCCACACATCGTTCTCACCTCCTCACACACCTCTGTGTACGTCATGGCCAAATCCAAGTCAGAGATCAGCATGTCCCTACAAAAAAGCAAAAAAAACAATAACACTTAATACAGAAAGCACCTTCGTACAGATCTGAGAACAATTAAAATCCTCTTCTGTTTAATGGAGTGGATTTGGTTACAGGTAAATGATACAAGATTCAATCTTTTACAGTATAAAAGACCACGGCCTAAAACTGGACTTCTCTATTAAAATGGCACACTTCTACAACTTGTCCAACAACTGAATAGTCAATTAGTGAAATAAACTAGATTTGTATTCTTTTTTTTTTTTTTTTTTTCATATTTTAGCAGCAGTGCCACTGACTAGTTAGAACCTATTTAGAAAATATTTTGTTTTGCACATCCCTACCATAACGGAAGCAGTGTTGTTATTTTTACTAAAACTAACCTGGTTAATACTTTTTGCTAATTGAAATAAAGCTGACATAAAATAACAACTAAAATGAAAACTAGGAATGTTGCCTTGGCAGCTATAACTAAAATAAATAAATTTAAGTTGAAATACTAAAACTACTACAACTAAAACATAAATAAAAATTAAACGAAGCTAAATAAAATTAAAATAAATTCATACTGAAAAACAAAATTACTAAAATGACATATTATCTGTAAATATACAGTACATATTACCATCTAAACTGCCCAGCATCACATCACAAATCATGCATCTCTTGTTCTAAATGTCCTCTGTAGCTTTAATTTGCAACACTGGCCTGAAACAGTCCAACCACAGCCAAACAAGCCACATCTGTTTGGATACACAAGAGACTTTTCTTTCAAACCTCTAGTACACAGCTGCCTAGTCTGGTCCCTGCCCCACTTTCAAACTGCATACAGGAATGAGCTGCCTCAGAGAGAGCCAAGTGCAAGAAAACATGATCAGTTTGGTTCAGAGAGGGTGGTTCAGGCTACAGAAGTGCAACCATATTACTAAGAAATGATTAAGTCATCGCTGACCTCAAAGTGCCTTCATGGGCATCAGGACTAATGTGCTTATGCGTGGATTCAGCATAATCATATCTTTCTTTGGGGCTTAATGGCTGTTTTCCCAAGTAATTCCCCAAGTATTACCTTGATCCTGGAATCATTCAGTACCATGTTATATATATATATAAATATTGTCATGGTATTTCCACACCATTTTGTAATGGATTATATGGAACGATATGCCAGTATATTGTGCATCCCTAATAAAACCACTGTTTTCTTAATAACACTGTGTGCTAACTTTCATTCAAAACATTAACAGACATTATTACATCAGGATAAACCAGTACTGACCTAGTTTCTCAGTTAACAGCCTTTGTCATGTCCTGGATTCATTGAAATACTGTATTACAGAGAGATAGTTACATTTGTTGAATGATGGTTTTACACAAACAAACCATCTAAAGAAATAAGTTGTTGTTTGTTTTAAGCATACAAATATTTTAAAGCATACATTTAAAATTAAAGAATAAAAAAATAAATAAAGATCTATAGGAAAATGCCACAAATGTTACAAAAATATAGTAAAACCCAGTGAATATAACCCCTAAATATCTGAATATATTAAATTAGCAAATTTTTACTTCACTGCATACTTATATTCTTCATTACAATTACTATTATTTTAGAATCTTAGTTGATAATGAAATATTACTGTGAAAATCATAAATTAACATTGATCACCACCGGTTTTAAATTATAATTGTTAATTATGTAATCATACAAAGAGCTTGGTTCAATGGGAATGTTTTTTTTATGAAAAGCTAAAGAAAAAAAACACATTTAGAAAAATAAAATATAAACCAGTGAATACATCTCTTTTATAAATTTAAATTTATCGTAACTTTTTAATTTATCTTTATTATTGCTATTATTTTAAATGCTAAAATATTACTGTGACAACAAACAGATTTATCATAAATTATCATTTATCACCAGTTATTCTAAATTATTTGTTAATCTAATTATACAAAGAGCTTGGTTCTTGCTTCGTTTGACCTTTGTTGACCCTAAAAGAGCTAAAGAAAATGAAATGATTATTTAGAGCATTTAGACAAATATATGTAAAAAAAAAATGTTGTATTTTTATTTACATTTTTAAAGATATTTTTTACAGTGGTGTGAAAAGGTTTTTGCCTCCTTCCTATTTTTTTTATTTTTTGCATATTTGTCACACTTGTGACACTTTTAAGTGTGACAAATATGCAAAAAATTTCAAAACCAGTGAATATAACACTAAAATAATGCTAAAATAATACTGTGTACATAAATTATGTAAATTACCATTTATCATAAATTACATTTCTTTATCTAATCATGCAAAGAGCTCTATCAAGTTGCAATGTTTCTTTTTACCCTTTTCTAAATAAAAAGCTAAAAAAAAATGTACCTTCATTTAAAAATATTGACTATTTAGATCATTTTACAATATTTTTTAAAGAAATTATATATATATATATAACACAGTTCCTGTGTAGATGGAAAATGTGATGTATGACTGTATGACAAGTCAGATATACTGTGTGTGTGTGTGTGTGTGTGTGTGTGTGTGTGTGTGTGTGTGTGTTTTCTGCTGAGATGAGCTCTGTAGCAGGTTGCCCCTCAGCGGGGGAACCTTCATCATGAGTCCATCATCTGCCACCCTGCCCTTATGGCTCCATCCGTCCCCCACCATCCTCAGCCCCCACATGACTGGCTGGCACTGAAGCCGGGGGTGAAAGGATCTCCAACCGCACAGCTCTCTAAGGCCTGATCAACTGATAAATGTCAAGAGTCCCTGGTGCCGCTGCCGTTTGGATGGTGCCTCGCTCGGCACTGACGCAACTGAAGAGGCAGGGAGGGAAATTCAATTCCAGAGCAAGCCATGTGAAAAAAAATTATCATCTAACCATCCCTGAGGATGCCAACAGTTAAATAAAGTAATTTCAGAGGTGTTCATTTCTCACTCCATATTAAAGCAGAGAGGGATGGTTCTGAAATAGATGAGACGGACAGAAAAAGCGTAAGTGTGGCAATAACGTTATTTGCACTGAATAAAAGAGGAGCGGAGGTGATAAATAAAGAGTTACTGGGTTAATCATAAGTCTAGATTTGTGAATGAACACAGTCATCACACATGCATTTGGCTGACACAGCATAACAGTCACAACTTAAACATTTGACCCTGCAGCTATTACAACTTCAACAAATAAACCTCTGAAAAAACACTGAGATTCAGCAGAGCCACACCTCTCCTGGAAAAAATTTGCAATGGAGATTTTAGTCAGGGAATTTAATATAAAGCATCAGCTTGTTGGTCAGGCAGCTAAACCTTTTTTATGATGCATAAGCAGATAGTGTGAATTAGGACCCTATAGTGTAAGTTTAGTAAATTATGATCTGATAATCATTTAACCTAGGAAAAACTGCAAGAAACACTAACAAAAAGTATGGTTATCATCATGGTGTTTTGGATAGGAATAGGTCATGATTGAACAATGGTTTAAAAGTTGTTTTTTGGATGACAAGTTGACCATCGTGACTATCCAAAATATTTAAATTAATAATATTTTAAAAATATTTTCAACAGACACGTGATTTTGATTTCACGATTCAATTTTCTCACGATTTTTTTTTTACAAATTGAAGATTGAAGACATTATACAGTAAATGAAAAGGTGTCGTTTTATTATATGAGTAGTTTTTAATCTAAATTAGATTGTATAATTTCGAAATCTGAAGTTTTGTTAAACTATACTACATAAAACATATGTAACAGCAGACGAGCTGAATGAGACGCAGTTTCACTCTCTGACAGCAGGTGGCGCTTATGAACAGCAATGATACAGCGTTTCTTGGGTTACCACTGTAAACAAAGCAGCTGTGCTTATGAACACTACTTTAACCCTTTAGGCGCCAGGGTTTTTTGGAAAAATGCTGGATTTTGACATCAAGATTTCAAAAGCTTGTGGCTTGAAAGGGCTTAAAGATAGAGATAGAGAATATTACAGAAAAAATACGCACCACATTCGCACTGCAAACGGAGTAATGTGTACCTAGCGTTATGTGTGTGAGCTGCGAGTGTGCATGAGCGCACGGTCTCCAGGAGAGCGCGCGAGCGCTGAATGGTTAAACACTGGTAAGAATTAAAATGTAATTTATAAACTTTAGTGACGATGTGACACTGCCTCGATAGTGCAAGTGACAATTCCTTTAATTCCTTAAATTCATAACAGTCTGTTCTCCTCAGAGATACATTCATATAAACTCCTACTCCAATTGTATCGCGATTTGTTTGGCATCTCAACCGATTTGAATCGTCACATATTTGAATCGATTTTTAACCGGCTTAGGTTAATCGTTACATCCCTACTTTCTAGGGATCTTTTATATGTAAATAATTGTGTACTGTACATATATGAAGGGAGGTATTGGCAAAATCTCACTTGTAGTAAATCACTATGAGCAATACGAGCTTTACAATTTGACAGCGTGTTATTTTAAATGTTAAAAGTCATTTTAATTCAAATACACTGGACGTTTTAACCCAGTCGGTGAAATTGTCAGACGGTCCCCGTGTGCGATAACGCGTCAATGCTTTCTCCGGTTTAAATTTGAAGCAATAATACACCTAGGCGGTTTTGAACTCCTATTTTTATATCAATATAAAGTGGTTGCATATTGTTAAAACTAATCGTGGCATTGATATCTTTGTAGGACTGTCGACTAGGGCTGTGCAATTAATCGAAATCGCGATTTGAGACGTTGCGATTTCCTAATCGCAAAGCATGCGATGTGTACACGATATTACTCTTACTTGCCCTAGGCAAGAGTGAGCGCACCTCCGTTCTCCCCAATCAGCACTGCTCTAGCCAACTGCGTAAAACACCCACCATTAAAAAAAATAAATAAATAAATAAAATTACCGGAACGGCACGCGGGACGGGAAAGAGACAGAGTGGGATTATGGCGTCTACTGGGTCAGATCTATAGTTAGGCAAATTAAAACTAAAGAAAACCGTATGCAACTTAAGCTTCGAAATGACA